ACAGACAGACGTACAGGCATGCAGGCAGAGAGAGACAGGTGATGAAGGATACGGACTCCGTTGACTCCAGAAATCTTGAAGTCATCGATCAGTTGGACGATTGTTTGTCTGTAGGGGTCAGTGGGGTCGGAGTCCCTCACCTGGTTCATCAATTGAAGAAAATGTGTGTAAACCACATCATCTGTGTGTGTGTGTGTGTGTGTGTGTGTGTGTGTGTGTGTGTTTGTGTGAGTGAGAGACTCACACATCTGAGCAGTTTGATCTCATCCAGAGCCGTCTCAGTGTAATGTGAAGCACTTTTAACGACCTTCAACGCCACAAAACGCTTCTTCCTAAAGAGACACAGGTTCAGAGGATGAGACACAGGACAATGTTTGTGTGTGTGAGTGTGTGTGAGTGTGTGTGAGTGTGTGTGTGTGTGTGTGTGTGTGTCGTACTGTAGATCCCAGCAGAGCCACACAGTAGAAAAATGGCCCCAGCCCAGTTTTCTGACCACATGATATCTTCCGTTAAACAAGTCACCAATCTTCACCGGGTAATAACCTCCTGTAACACAAACACAACGAACTGTATTAAACTTTAGTTCATTTTCTGAAACTGTTGTAAAATGTTTAAACTGTATTGATGAAGTTTAGTTTATTAAACTTTATTGTTCAGTTGTCTCTGACAGTGGATCTCACCTCTGCAGTAATCTGACGGATCTTCTTGTTCCTCGTCATCGGAGCCAAGCAGCTGAGTGGGAGTTAACTCAGGCGGAGGTGGACTCAAAGCAGGTGGGGGCGTGGTCAGTTGATCGTGTGCTGATGACAATGGAGGAGACAGGCCAATTGGAGGGCCCAGAGGGTCGAGGGCGTGAAGGAAGGAGGTGGAGGAAGAGCAGAGAGGGGAGTATAACTGGGAGGAGACACTGGAGGTGAAAGTCACTGAGGTCTGCAGGAAGGGGTCAGGGTGGGAGGGGCTTAATATTGGGGTAGGAGGGGCTTTGGAAGACACTGATGGAGATTGAGGGGCATTGTGGGTAATGTGGTGGAGTAAGGTTGGCGGTGATTCAGAGAGATCTGTCTCAGTCCTGTGAGGCGATCTGGAGGAATTGTGGGAAATATTTAGCTTGGAAGTTGGCTGTGATTGGCTGGGCGTGTGGACAGGACTATGAGCTGTGGCCAGAGGTGATTGGTTGACGATCATTGGGGCCTTTAAGGGGATCAGAGGTTCTGGAGATTCCAGTGGAGCGACCTCAGCTGTATATAGAGGAGGGATGGGGGAGGTGTGGGGGTGATGGGTAGGTGAGGTGTGGTGGGGTGGGAGTGAGGTGGGGACATCGTCTGGATGGGTGAGTTCATTCACTGATGATGTTTGTGTTCGAGCAGGAAGTCGACTGACGTCAGGATTCAGGGTCAGAAGATCGTCGGCTCTGAAAGACACAAAATCCAACCCTGAGTCTGTGTTCGACCCAGAACTGTTCATCATATAAATACATTTGAATCTGTTCTTACAGATTTAAAATGATAAACAGGTTATTTTCTGTATTTTCTGTTATTAAATGTTATGTTGTTATATTATCGTCATTTAAAAAAAAAATTAAATAACTGATCAACTTCAGTAGGTTTGTTACTTGTGTATTATTAAATATGTGCATTTAATTGGATGAAAAACAAAAAAAACAATCTCTGAGTCATGGACATTATTGTCGTTGTCTCAACTGCACTGAAATAGACTGGAGAGATTGTGTGTGTGTGTGTGTGTG